CCTGACTGACAGGGTGTCAGGTTATTTTCTGACTCTGTCAGGTTATTTTTTTTGTACTGTTGCATTTATGTTGTTTTGTTGTGTTGTTCATATTAAATTGTACTTCTGACTCAGAGTCTCTCACCGGTTTGCTTTTCAAACTGGCACACTTGTTTATCCTGTTCCATCTTTGCACAAAAATACTTATTTTGAACTCATAAAACCTAAGGAGTCATCTTACCACCATCACCAATGAGTGTTAGATGATTATTGCCAATTACACTAGTTTACTAAATATGCCATCAGAAATCAGGTTTCAGTTGGTCCTTTGATCCTTCTTAGATGTCTGTGTCATCTTTTCACTGAGTAATAAAGGTATCCTTTAACACTTATGGTTTGTTAACATTTCTTTCAGCTAGCACAGCTGAAAAAACACACGGTTCAACTTGCAACTTCTTCCTGTCACAATTAGAAAAAAAGCATGGCAAACAGGGTTTAAATTTGGTGGAGGTATGTGGGGCAGAAACTGGTACGAGTATGAAATAAGCTCACAGGGGCTGTATTTTCATCAGACTGTTGAAGATACTAATTGTGGGGTATCAAATATCCTTGCGAAAGCAGTAACAATACTAGAAAAATTATTCAGACTAAATATAGTACCTTCACAACCGTGCCTCTTTATCATACAGGAAACACTTGAGATTAAAAAACACATTACCATACCTCTTAAAGCCTTACAATCAATTACTTCCACATGAGCATCCAGTCTATCAAAAGCTTCTTTGCAGATGGCCTTTGCTAATGTTGACTTTCCACTTCCCTACAAAAATAAATGTGAGCTAATGTAAATTGACAGAACTAGCTCCTCCTGCTTCTGTGTTTTTGTCTCATTATATACCAGTTAACAAGCTGGGAAGATGCATGCACACTGGTTTTATTCCTCACTAAAACTATGTATTTTGTCTTTCTATCACTTGATAGAGACCAGAGTAAAACAATACATCCACTACAGAGAGTGTTCTGATTCCACTGAGATCAGCCTTAAGACATCTGTTAGCTTCAGTGGAATATGGCATTACATGGATCACTGTAAGAGGCAACAAGAAAATAATAGTATTGACTCCACTGTCATTTTATGTTAGAACACAAGAGAAAATATTATATTCTTATTTTCATTCAAATATTTCAGAGACAAGAGGTGTACAAACACAAAGTAGATTAATCCTCAGTGGGGAAAAATTGAAATTACATTGGTAGCAATCTTTAAAACTTACATTATGCATATATTATACATATAGCTATGCACACAAAATATTAATATATACTGATGAAGTATGTATATAATGTGCATACATATGTGTAAGATAATGTTTTACTGAATTACCTCTGTTCAGTTAACCACTCTTTTTTTCAGCTTGTTCTTTGTTCTTTGGAACTTTCATTGTATCAAGGAAAACTAACAAAACCAGTTCTGTAGCTACAGAAAATCTGGAAGGGTTTGTAAGCAGAAAGCACTGAAGTGCTTACCTTTCCTCCAGTGAGCAGCACTCCTCCATTGCGCAGTCCCACAGCAATAGCAGCCAGCTTCTGAGACAGAGGACGGCCCAGAAGGCTGTGGCTTATGTGTTCAAACAAAGATGCTCCTAATTTGTCCACTCCTCTGCAGGGTAAAGGAAACATTAAATGGCCCTCAGTACACACAATGTAAATACCTGCAGGGTAAAGGAAACATTAAATGGCCTAGTGTACCCTCAGTACACACAATGTAAATACTAACAGCTTGCAGTGTGGGGAAGTTACAAAACTGACAAACTGTGATGTGCTTCATCTCCTCAAGGAAAAGCTAAAGACAGCTCAGTCTGAAGAGACAGCACCTTTATTCTGTAGTGGTGATATGGGACACAGATACACATTGCAGAACATTCCAACAAGGGAAGGGTTATCTAGCACTGTACACCACACTAGCAGTTCTCAGAGGATAAGAGCTAAGCATCTTTTGGGGCTTCACCTACTTGAGTTCTGAGTAACAATCTACTAAGGCATATAACAAGTTGGTAAAACATGGAGCATGTCTGGGGCAGAAAACTTCTCAGCCTTTTCAGAAATAAAGCAACACAGTTCATTTGAAGGTATCCTTATCTTTCACTGGCCCTAAATGTTTGTGACTTTCAACACAATAGTGCTCCCATCAGTCCACAAACAGCAAAGCTACCAGTTTCATATTTCAGTCTTACACAAAGTGTTGTTCCATGAGAAACTGAATGAACAAGTGAATCCTGTTTTCTAACATCCCTACTACATCCCAACACTACCACACTGCCCCCGTATCAGTTCCCCTTCCCTCTTCAATAATATGTTCAGTTGGTTTTGACAATATCTCAGTAATATTGTCAGTTGCCTTTCACAACATTGACAGCATATACTATCACAACACTCCAAGTCTCTCATGCCTCCTCTGCCCCATCCCTGCTTCAAGTTTACCATCCAATAGCTCTGTGTCCCCCTGTGCTAACCACCACAGCACTTTGCATTTCTCTCCTCAGCTGATGATTCTGATAAAACTTTTAGGAACCACATTTCTCTGAGACCCATACTATTAAATGCAGTAAAACAACTAAACAGGTTGGAGTTACTGCGGGAAAAGGATTAACAGACAGACTGCAACTTATCAGTTTTGCTTCATTTGGAAACCTCAGCCAAAACCACCTCACTATCCCTTACTGCAATGTAGAATCTGTTCATACTACTTAGAACAACAGCAAGAGCTATTTCTTCTAAAACTCTTCAGTTCTGAGTTTCAGTTCGGAGGCTGTCTCAGTTCTGAGACCTCCCATCCTACTGTCAGACACGCCAAACTTTGCAGTATGTGAATACCTTCAGTCACAGGAAGTCTTCTATTCACTGCAGTAAGACAAAATTAACCATCTACATAAACTAGGAACCTGACACAAGGCAAAAGATGTAGAGCTTTGTTTAGATCTGTCTTAGTTTTCAAAACATCTGAATTTCCACCAAGATTTTTTTTTCTAATTCTCATTCCCATTCCCTCCCATGTTTTCTCCTATGAAAATGTCTCACCCTAAATCATTTAGTTTGTGGTATGGAAGGTTCTTGTCTGTATCATGCACAGGTGTCTGGTTGTCACCATCACCATCAGCTTTTCTACTTAGAGGTTGCAAAAGAACCTACAACAAAGAAAAGAGTTAGTACTTTGCATTAAATATAAGTATAGAAGAAAGGTATAGAAGCGACTAACCATTTTCGGAACTGTGTAAAGAAAATTTTGCCTGTGTGCTTTGCTGAAGCTTGTTGTACTTGAAAGAAAGATGCACTGGTGAAATGGCATAGATACAACTATTTCCAAAATACAACCCAGTGTTTACAGTGATGTAATAACCTATGATTAAATAGGCCAAGTGCTGTTCATACCAGAAGAAAGGTATAGAAGCGACTAACCATTTTCGGAACTGTGTAAAGAAAATTTTGCCTGTGTGCTTTGCTGAAGCTTGTTGTACTTGAAAGAAAGATGCACTGGTGAAATGGCATAGATACAACTATTTCCAAAATACAACCCAGTGTTTACAGTGATGTAATAACCTATGATTAAATAGGCCAAGTGCTGTTCATACCAGACTATGTTTCTCTTCCCCTCCCTGCCATTACTTGTTCTTCTCCTGTGCTGGCAGGAGCACTTGTGAGGCAGAATAGTGAAACAGCTCATGAGGCTAATCTGAGTGAAAAGCAACTTGACAGAACACCTGGCATGAATTTTTCAGTCTTGTTCATCAGAGAGCTAGTATGGTAAGCTGGCCAGGCACACAAGGCTAACTTCTCTACTACTAGTAAAAATAAAGCTCTTGTTTTACTTTTTATTTTTTAAACAGTAATCCTAAATCTTGCACACAAAAAAATCTATTCTAAGCAGCCAAAAAGACACCTTAATTCTCCACTAAAATTTAACTGTATCAGTTTATAAATGAAAACATGTTTTCCCACTCTTATATCCATAACCACGGAGTAACGGGCACTGATTCAATCAGAATTATTAATGAAACAGTAACCCTAATATTAAATAGAACTATTTATTCTCCTGAGAAAGGAAATACGGAAGAAACAGAAGGCAGAGAAGGAAAAGGCAGAGTCAGGGTGGTAGGTTTGAGTGGGGAATACGTCTCATCTTTGCCAGAACAAGCTACTGTGCCTGCCAGACACACTGTGAAGTAACTGTACAGTGGTTGAGTTACCAAGGCAAAGAACAACTAAATATAAGGATGTTCAGACTCGGACAGTACTGACTTTCCTCTGTTCTAACCGATTTTCCTGGAAGTTTGACACAGACTATGGAACTCAGTGGCACATGTGACATGCCTGGAATCTCAGCAAGACCCCAGGCTACAAAATAACATACAGAATGCAGATCTAATTTAATGAATAGACTGACATTGGTTTATATACAAAGGGAAACCAAAACACATTATATATAAAACACAGTATATTTTAAACAAGCATAACAACTTAAATTACTTGATACCTGATACTATGTGATATTTACTTGCATATTAGTCTTTTGCAGCAAACTGGGACTCAGCACAAAAATATTCTCAGACTTATTTTCTTCAGTGTGTGCAGGATGTGCTACACTAAGGACAAACTCCTCCATTCCTGTAAAAAAATCAAGGAACAACTATTAAAATTCCAAATAAATCCAGTTTTCATTCCTCACAAGATAAAACAGATTGGAGTATTACTATGATATAATCCAAAATGAAGCAATAAAAAAGCTTAATCATTATTAAAGCATAACTCAAGCCTACAGTTTCAGTGTAAAGAGATACGAGTTATGTTATGTGGTGTACACAGAAATTTAATGGCATATTAGCGAAGTAATAAGTGGATAGTTAAGACAGCTACAGCACAGGACAGTATTATCCTTACCTTCTTTAACAGACAGATGTATAGAGTCTGTGCTTGCCATTATCCATGGGTGATCATCAGTTGTGGAATCCTGCAGCCAAGAACTGAAAGCACTTTTAACCTCATCTTCGTGTATATCTTTATGCTGAATAGGAAAAAAGAAAGAGGTAAGTACACAAAACCAGGTGTTAGTAAGTAAAACTGCTTTCTTCCTATGCACCAGGCATTAGTTTCTCTTAAGGCAGCAGAGAGGTGGAAGAAGATAAAAGAGTTTTACTTATGTAGAAAATAGCATTTTGCCAATGAACAACATTTCTATCAACTGCTCTATGGAAAGCACCTGCCCAGCCCTTGCTATGGCCACAGCTGAATCTTCCACCACCTCTGAAGATGTTGTCTTTGGAACACTGATGTGAGGGCAAAGAAAAGCATCTATTTTTGTTTTACTGTCTGCCAGATCCAAGGGCACTGCTCAGCTCCTGTGTTTGAAGGTATGCGCCAATATCGGCCTGTGACTTATTTTAGATTCTAGCTACACCCCTCTCTTCCCTATATTCCCTTTTCCTACATAAAGAACCCTAGTCTCATCCAGCTCAGGGGTACCAACAACAGATTTCAACAGGCAGACAGATCACTTAGATAAATGGAATATGAAAAGAAACTGAGTCTAGATCACATATCTCTTGGCCAAGTTCCTAATCATAGAAGCAGAATTTCTGTATAGAAAAGACCTTGGAAGCACTGTTAAGAAATTCAGGAGTTCTATTTCCTCTATCCTCTATGAACTCTGCCAGTCACTTTAAACAGAAAATTGTGAACATGCCAAACTATTTGAAATATCTACCAAGTGCAAACCAAAGTTTACAGGCTTGATGCTTACAGTATCATTAAATCAAAACAGTATTACTTGATAAGCGCTGTTTAAGTAGATGGTAACATCCTCTTAATTTAAACTTGCATAGTAAAAAGAAAAAGGAATTATACAACAAAAAAATTCCTATGGAATTAGGCCATACATGACAGACAACTTCCAAATCATCATCTAAAAAAATTAAATAAACATAAAACCCCCCCAACTTGACCAGAGAAACATTATCAGTTTTACAATATATGAACAAACACGTGAGCAAGAATATCAACTCACTAAGTTCTGTTTGGGCTGCAGTGTAAGAGAGACAGGAATTTTAAGAACAGATTCAATGGACTTAATTCGGACTGTTGAATGTATTTCAATTTGTAGTTTTTTTCTCAGACCATCTGGAATCTGAAATATTTAAAATAAAAACAAATAAAAGGAAATATCAGAAAGTAAAATAGCTGTAACATTGCATATGTAATACAACATCAGTTTCTTCTTCACTAATAGAACCTCTACATTTGATCATTGATCTGTTTATTGGTTGTAATCGGCAAGAGATTTAAGAAGAAAACCACAAAACTGATGGTGGTATCCAAATCTTGCTCTTTCATGCACAGTCCTAATTACCTTTTATCCTGCTTGTGACAGTGCTCACTACAGCTCACCTTCTACAACTTCTTCAAATAAAACCCAAAAGGTTGAAAAAGAAGAATGAGGAGGAATTCCTAGAAAACCATAATAATGCTTGCAGTATAGGAGAAAAACAACAATTCTACCTTCATTTGCTTATTAAAATTACTTTTACATGGAGAGGTAAATATACATAGGCCATTACAGAGACCAGAACTAAGCACACTTGTAGCACAGAGAGAGAAAATCCAATCTTCCTAAATCATATGATTTAAAAAGGAAACTACTTTTCCATTGTTCTCTGCTATATTAAACATATATACAAGTTGAAAGCATCTAATAAATATTTCAGTCTGGAAGACACTATGATTGTTGGCATTTGGAAAATTGTTCACTCAAAAGATTTCATGGCAAAGACCACTGCAGGCTCTTGATCTCATTCTTAACACAGCAGTAAGGGAATGGTGAGAAGTGCATTATGTCAAAAAAGCCAAATGGTGATTTGGAGTGCATTTTATATACTTTTGTTGATCCCACACATACTTCCAGCAAAGAAAGAATATAGCAGGCAGTAGTTGTATCAGAACAAGCTGAAATGTCAGCATCTTCACACTACCTTGCAAAATAGTATATAAAACTAAAATAGTTTAAATTATCTAAGAGCTAGTTAATATTAATTTTAAAGATGCATTTTAAAGACTATATAAAAGGACTCACAAACACCACATAGCACTAGGATATGTGATCCCAATACTTCACAGTCTGATGAAATTTCAAGGTGTTAACTGAAGAAAAGAGTCATATTATGCAGTACTGAATGTATGTGAGTAGATACTGTCACTTTCTCATGAATGCAATGCCTACCAACAGATTCTGAAGCAAACATGCATTCCCTGCAGAAACACTGAAGCATTTTTCCCATTTGGTGAAAAAATGCTAAAGGTGCAGAAACCCAGAGTACACTGTATGTCTTGGAGGATGATGGCAAGTAATGTAGTCTAGAATGCCTGCAAAGTACAGCTCTAGGAGAGCTTAACACAAAGTCTATATCCCAAACCCACATGTCAAGAAGCCAGTTTCACAATTATCCAATAGAAAACATAACTGAATAAAAAGCCCACAGGATAGTGTGCTCAAACTGACCCAAACTCTTCCAACATGTAGGGCTCCCCCACTGTGGCCACATTCTATGACACTCTTTAGGTCTTCAAACCCATTCCAAACGATTTGAACAACAGATCCCTCACTGGATGCTTGACTGCTATTAAAATGATTTTTGTCTTGTGTACTAGACAAATGCTTTTGCTTTTCAAGTGGCAGGTTTTGCTTTGCTTCTTGATGACGCTGTCTTGGGGAACGCAGCTCGTTAATTTTCCCATAAGATACTACAGGATTGGGATCCAAATCAATAAATTCTAAATTCCACGAAAAAACATGGACAGCATTGCACTTCAGAAATGCGTGAGTGGCAGCTACATTCTGCACACTGGGAGGCTGGGACTGACACACTCTGAAAATGGAATCCATGTGAATTAAGTTCAGCAGCTTGTCGGTGCAGATGCTCATTTCATCTTTATCACATGAAGTCTTTTGTTTCTGCTCAGCCATATGAGAGAAAATGTTTCCTATGAAATTCCACATATTTGGGAGAACACTTGAGCCAAATGTCACATTTGCATCAGCCTCACTCTGCTCAAGGTCTCCAGGTTTTAAGTAAGCTTGCTGGGCAAAAGGATCCTTTACTGCTGCTTCCTGCTCCATGTTATTTTTCACAAAATTTTTGAGGAAGGTGTCACGTTCTGAGGAAGGGGTGCTGGTGATGTTCTCCTCAGGTCCGTGTGGTTTGGGACATATCAGAAGCTCCGTGCATGGTTCTAACCTCCCATATGGGGCTGCTGGCATCAGCGTACCTGAGTATGAACAAAACACACCCATGAATGCATCCACTCCTGCCTAACAGCTCAGTGGAGGTGCCACAAGAGCCTTCAGTGCTGCTTACCAACTCTGATGTAAACGTGAGTGTGCTGCTCTACCCACACAGGGAAGATGGCTCCTGGAAAAACCACTCGAATCTGGTCAAGGAGATGTTTCTCAAGGGAGGAAGCATGCAGCTCCTGGAGAAATGGATACTGTTACCAATTAAACACTGCACACACTTTTAACGTCTGTCTGAAGACAAAAACTGTAAGTCTCTTTCTAATACGTCATTTGAAACATAAAATACAACTCAGCCCCACCACAGTTAGTATTTCCTTAGGGGTTGGAAAGAATGGGGCGTTGTGCAAAAACCTGTTTGCGTCAGAATCCCTGTCATCTGTAAGACAAGGATGTGAACAGTGGAAAGGGTTTTATTACCAGAATTTCCCAATCATCTGCTGTGAGTGGTTCCACTTCTACTTGCTGACAGGAGGAGACATGGGAACAGGGCTCAAGGAATACCTGGCAAAAGTAACACAAAAATATTTAATTCCTTATTTTTAAACATATAAAACCTCCATCTTTATTTCAACTAGAAAACTGACATCACCTTCCTTGTATGTTTTCACTACTTGGGACACACACCACCTTAATGCCATGGTAACTGATAAGCAGATGAATGCAGAGTGGACTGGAAATGGATTGCATTGGGCACACTTGGGGACTTCAGCAAACCAGGAATGGCAGTAAATATGAAAAGCACCAAGAGCTTTATCAGCTGATAACAAACAATCAATTTTTAATACACCTTGATCACAATCATCTTTCCATTTTTGAATGTTTATTTTTAAATGTCCTGGACTTTAGAAAGCTGAAAAATAACACCGAGTTGTGTACAAATTTAGACAAGGCAAAGTCAGCTGAAAAAATGAGGAAAAAGTATAATACAACAGCAATCCAGGTGCTCTGTGAATGGATTCATACGAAGCAGCCCCAACCCCACAGAACAGTTTTAATGTCCTGTGTATCAGGAGGAATGATAAAAACTATAGTGGCTTAGGTTTTTCAGAATGCATTAAACATAGAGTTTAAAAGTAAATTTTTACCAGATGTTTCATTTGCAAAAAAAGCAACAATTTTCAAACAACATCATGTCACTAATATAAACTTAATTAATTTTTTTCTTTAGATAAAACTAGTTACTTGTCCTCTGAGAGAGAACTATTTCAGGTCACCTGTTTTAAAAGTAACAATATTTTAAATTCCTCCAGATCCTCAGTTTGAAGTAAAAGTTGGGAGGAATACCTTCTCGCCAACATGACAAATAGAAGTGCATATTATTATTATGAAACACAGCAAACATGCAATTCCTGAATCCAAAACAGCGGTAAAACTACCTAATTATTCATGTATACATTTGATTGTACAGGTGACTATTTCCAGGCAACAGCTGGGTGATGTTTTCTTAGGTTTCCTTTGTCAATTGTGTTCCTGTTGAAGGTTATTAATTGCTAGAACTCAAAGGGCAGTTATCTCACCACTGAACTAGTAAATTGTAAGTTTCTGCAAACAGACACACAATTTCTAGAGAAAATATGTTTAAACAGGAAACAGGGTAAGATAATACACTGCTCTGAGTCACATTTGTTGGTATCTTCTATTATGCTGAATAAAGTTTTGCATGTGAGAGAACAGGCATATAAGAATATACTACACAATAACATTGTGTAGAGTAATACTTTTCTACTTGTTTGTTTAAATCTCTACCTATTAATATAAAAAAAAATCCTTGGATTATAAGATGGTAGTAGTCCCATGTCAGAAAGCTCTTCTTGCCTCTTGAGCATCTCTTGTGCCCAATGAAAAAGTAATTTACAGGAAGTTTAACAGAGTGCACAAGAGTAAGAGGTAAATCTAAATACACAGGAAGAGGACAGATGGGGAAGGGATGAAAATTTACACCCCAAATAAGTTAAACAAGGAGACTTATGTAGTAAGCCAATAATTACTTTAAAACAACAGAAACTCTAAGCAAAATATTCCCATGAGATAATTCCCAAATTGTTCCATTGCTTAAGGGTCTATTTTCCCCAAATTAATGGCACTACAGAGAGTGGCTCCAGCCCTGCAAAGACCTACCCACAAACCTATCCTATCGTTGTTTAGGTAAATGTTAGTGATTTAATGAGCAAATCTTCTCATGTTTGAGACATTTCATGGCAGCTTACTCTTCTTTTGAGCAGATATAAATGAAGTAACTGTCTAAATACCTGAAATAAGTAGGTCATAGCTAACTTGTACTACCTTTTCATGTATCTGGCAATATACTCTTTATTTAATTAAGACAAAAAGATTGCATTTCAAACCTGTTCTCCATCTGTGATGCCAAGTTTCTCTGCTAACTGTCTATTAATCTCTGCAATATTTTCACTCTGGTGACCTCGATGCCTGATTTCCATCCAGCTCAAAAATATCAGATAATGACCATGGGATACTTTCACGGCTTGGCCCTATGAGTTTCAAAGAAACAAAATAAATTAACATAAAATAAGCTAAATAATAAGACTGTTATACAACCTAAACCATATTTGATTAGAGAGATCAAAGGAATGAAAAGTATTTTCTGGATTTTACATTTTCTTTGCGTAACTCTCAACATAGAAGTGTATGTCAGTTTCAGTTCTTAAAGAGGTTTTATTTTTCATGGACTATTTTAAAGTAAGAAAAATAATTCCCCTTCCCTTCTTCTGCATTACAGGGTATCAAAAACAAATCTTACAGACACGTGTAACTGCACATTTGTATTTCCCAAAAGAAAAAAAGCATATGCTTAAATTTCACAGGAATTATAACACTTGCACGGTCCCCAGAGTGCTTTTACAACATTTTTAAAATAATCCACATATTCTATTAACTCAGACCAAAATGATTTTATCAACCTGTTTCAGAACCGTTTAGCTATTTTGATTCCAAACGGAATGTCTGATTCCAAACTATGTTCAGTCAGTTTTCATATAAAGTGTCATTCAACCAGTATTTTCTGTATTTTTTCCAAAGATTACTATTTCTATGAAAATCAGGCGACCAAGACATTGTACACTGTGGACATGCCACAGATTTACACGCTAACACACCAATCTCTTCTGTTCTCAAGTGTAATCTAATAACTTCAAATATTATTTGACTCCTTTGTAAACTCTGAGAACATTTTCAGAGAGTATCTACAATGTTCACCAAGGGTAATACTTCTTGCCTCTTGAGCATTCCCTGCATTCACACAGATAAAGCTTCTCCCCCTTCACACAACAATGAGTTTTTGTAGACCATTTTGCCACTCACTTATCTAACATCTTCCGCAATTAGATTTAGCTTTTGATTCCATTTGAATCCACTATTTACTCAGTGCAATCTATTCATGGAATCATTTATCCCCTTTTCAACACTTTTATTCAGGAGATTGCACTGAATATGCAATTTCCATCAAGTTTCCAGAGATCCTTTCTTTTCCTTCTGCAGCTCAGGCTAAGTAAAAGCAGGAGCTCCATAACCAACGAAGTATAGAATGTCACTACAAGACTTCCAAGCAATCGCACTCCTTTCTCCTCTCTCCTGCCAGCAAATCAGTAAAATGTTCAAACTGCAGCTGAAATGAAGCTCACATTTATAATGCATTTCTTGCAACTCCACCAACCCCTTCCTACTATCCCAAAGACAACGCAGCAGGTTTTTACACGTCTTGACAGTTTTGCTGTAGTGCAATGTCCTTCCTGGCCTTGGGGAATCAGGAGGTTACACACGCTGTGGGAGGGCAGCCTGGCCGAGAGGGGCTGTGCCAGGACAGCGACTGCCATCGCCACTCCTGAGCTTTGCTCCCTCCTTCTCCTCCTCTTCTCCCTGCTCGTTCTTGCTGTTTTCCTCCCTGTTCTGCTAACAGATCCTTCGCTCTGCGTCCATCGTACAGGGGCTACACACAGTTTCCAAGTACGGAATGCTATTTACAATCCCCGGGGCGCTTTCTGCGGCTGACCCGCGTCCTCACTAGGACTCTGCACGACAGGAGCTCGTTCCTAGCGCGAAACATTTATTTACGCACACCAAGAACGATTCCACACGGACTTACCACCTCACCTCCTACCTGAATAACAGCCTTACACACTACTCATTAAAGCTAGCGAGTTACCGTGAAAACTGGTATGAAACAGCGCCGAGTGAGATACAGACGCCCACAGTGCCAGACTGAGCTGAAGGAGATACATTCCGGTCTTTCCCACGCTTTATTAAGAACGGACGACAAAACTGTTTTGGGCTACGCAGGGTCGCGCCGCAGGGGGCGAGGGAAGGCGAGGGAGAGCGAGGGAAGACGAGGGGCTGGGGGCGTGAGGGCGTCCCCGGCTGCGGGGAGGGCTGAGCCGCGCGGGAGGAGCGA